TTTGGTGGGCTGTGTGTGTTTGGGGCATGTGCTCTGAGAAGCTGGGAATACTGCTAGTTAAGTGATTGCTCAATGATGAGTAATAGCTGCCTAGGCCTGACAGAAGCCCTAACAAAGCGGAGCCAGTCCAGGCTCAGCAGGGTATAAAAGGAGACTCCCTGAGCAACCAGGGAGCCAGCAAACAGGGGCTGCAAATAGGGTAGGCAGTTCACAGGTCAGTTCGCAAGTCAGTTTGCCCCCCCTTCCCCAATCCCTTTTGAGGGGACAGCCTTTCAGCTTGATGTGAGGAAGCAGGAAAAAAGGAACTTTTGGGGGCCAATGAGCAGTAAACAGGCCAGCTTCCAGGACAGCTCTCTAGAGAAGGTGTACTTGGAAGAAGGGCAGGCAGAAAGAAAAGGCAAATTAAGAGTCCCAGGGAAATGGCTGGAGGACGTTACAATGACAGAGCCCCAGCCATTCCCTCTGCTTGCACCTGTGAGGTTTCTATCTAGGCAAGACCACTCACCATTGAGGCTTCCACCCAGGTCTGGGTTTGGCTCTGTGGGGACTGTGGCTTGCAGGTTCTTTCCAATGACAACCAGGTTGGAGGGCACCTGTGGTGTGAGCGGTGCCTCCTGGTGGTGTCTCTCAGGGAACAGGCAAGAAAGCTACAGGAGGAGGTGGTGAGGCTCTGAAGCATCCTCCACCATGAGGACTTCATTGATTTGATGCTGGAGACCTCCAGCACTGAGGAAGAACTGCCAGAAGCAGCACTAGTCAAGAGAAAGGACAGACTCCCAGGAGGGTGGAAGCTGGAAACTTGTGACCTGGCAGCAAGCATAAATCTTCACCTCCACCCATTTGTTTGGAGAACAGATATGCTGCCCTGGCTACAGAAAGGGAAGAGGAACATGCTCCACTGCTGGAGGAGGACAGGCCAAGTATCACCAAGGTGGGAATGACTGAGACTACTACCACTAAGAAGAAGTGATGGGTGGTGCTGTTTGGAGACTCTCTTCTGCAGAGGATGGAGGGAGCCATCTGCCGACCTAACCTGTTGTCTTGGGAAGTGAGCTGCTTGCCTGGAGCCCAGATCCAAAACGTTATACCAAGACTCTGACTATTACCCCATGTTGCTCATCCATGTGGGCACCGATGATACTGCCAGGGGAGACCCTGAGCAGATAAAAACTACGGGGCTCTGGGTGCAAGGGTGAAGGGGTCTGGGGCTCAGGAGATGTTCTCCATTCAAGGGAAAGGGCCCGGGTAGGAATGGGTGCATCCTGTAGATCAATACCTGGCTGCACAGGTGGTGTCAAAAGCAAGGCTTTAGCTTCTTCGACCGTTAGATGTTCCAAGAACACGGATTGCTGAGAAGGGATGGGATCCACCTGACAAAGAGAGGGATGAGCATCTTTGCAGACAGGCTCACTAACCTAGTGAAAAGGGCTTTAAAATAGGTTTGCCAGGGAGGAAACCAAAGCCCTGAGGTAAGTGGGAAACCTTGAAAAAGAGCAAGCAGGAGGGGGGACAACAGCGTAGGTGTTCTCATACTTTCTGAGAAATCAGGGCAATTGACCAGTTACCTTAGGTGCCTGCACATGGATGCATGGAGCCTGGGAAACCAGCAGGAAGAATTGGAAGTCCTCACACAGTCAGAGAACTATGACATGATTAGAATAATAGAGACTTGGTGGGATAGTTCACATGACTGCAGCACTGTCATCGATGGGTACAAACTGTTCAGGAAGAACAGGCAAGAAGAAAAACAGAAGAAGTTGCACTTTTATATAAAAGAACCATATGATTGCTCAGAGCTCCAGTATGAAACTGGAGATAGGCCTGTTGAAAGTCTTTGGATGAGGGTTAGAGGGGAGAGCAACAAGGGTGATGTTATAGTGAATGTCTGCTACAGACCGCCAGACCAGGAGAAAGTAGTGGATGAGGCTTTCTTCAGCCAGCTAGCAGAAATTTTCCAATCACAAGCCCTGGTTTTCAGGGGGGACTTCAATTACCTTGACAATACAGCAGTGCACAAGCAATCCAGGAAGTTTTTGGAGAGTGTTGGGGACAACTTCCTGGTGCAAGTGCTAGAGCGGCCAACTCGGGGCCATGCTCTTCTTGACCTGCTGCTCACAAACAGGGATGAATTGGTGGGGAATGTAGTAGTGGATAGCAACTTGGGCAGCAGTGATCACAAGATGATGAAGTTCAGGATCCTAAGGAAAGGAAGGATGGAGAGCAACAAAGGACCCTGGACTTCAGAAAAGCAGACTTTGACTCACTCAGGATATTCATGGGCAGGATCCCTTGGCAACCCAGTCTGAGGGGGAGAGAAGTCCAGGAGAGCGGCTGTACTTTAAAAAAGCCTTGCTGAGAGTGCAGGAACAAACCATCCCAGTTTACAGGAAAACTAGCAAGTATGACACAAGACCAACTTGGCTTAGCAGGGAACTCTTCACCAAACTAAATACCAAAAAGGAAGCTTATAAGAAGTGAAAACGTGGACAAATAACTAGGGAGGAGTATAAGAGCATTGCTCGGGCATGCAGGCATTAAGCCAGGAAGGCCAAAGCGCAACTGGAGTTGTAGTTAGCAAGGGATGTGAAGGGTAACAACAAGGGTTTCCACAAGTATGTCAGTAGCAAGAGGAAGATCGGGAAAGTGTGGGTCCCTTACTGAATGGGGGAGGCAACCTTGTGACAGAAAATGCGGAAAAGGCTCAAGTGCTCAATTTCTTTTTCACCTCAGTCTTCATAGGCAAGGTCAGCTCCCAAACTACTGTACCTGGTAGTCCAGCTGGGGGAGGAGGTGAGCAGTCAACAACAGGAAAGGAACAATTTAGGGAGTATTTAGAAAAGCTGGACATCTAGAAGTCCATGGGGCCAGATGGGATACACCCAAGGGTGCTGAGGGAGTTGGCTGATGAGACTGAAGAGCTGCTGGCCATCATCTCTGAAAAAGCATGGCAATCAAGAGAGGTCCCAGATGACTGGAAAAGGGCAAACATACAGTGCTCATATTTAAGAAAAAAAGAGGACCCAGGGAACTACAAACTAGTTAGT